ACCGGGAACGGGGGCGAATGTGCCCCGCCACGGGACTCTATTACGGAGGTGAGTGATCCCTTTTCTGGCACTTCAGGCTCTTCTTCGTGATATTCCCACCACAGACAAAATGGACGCTCCTGGCCCCTAGCAGACACTTTCCTGATAACCAAATGGTGAAGGCAGAGGTCTGCCAGCTCTCAGGCTAAATATAGAAAATAGAATAGAGAAAACATCAAGTGAGCCGCTTTATTGTCTTGGTCAGCACAGAACTGTTTTCTAAACACTGGAACAAATTGCAGATTACACAAAGCTCTGAAAAACAAAGGGACTTGCACAGTTCTTCTGGAGACTCTTTAAATCCGTCCTTGTTGGGATTCTTTCCCAGTTTTCCAACGCTGAACATCATGGACTACATACCAGCATAAAATCTATTTAAGTGGTGAAAACCTCATCTGAGAAGTTCAGGCCCACGTTTTAATACAGTAATTTGGTGCATCTACTGCAAACCATTTTTCTGTGTTTAGAAACCACTTTTTGATATTTTGACTGGTGCCTCAGCCTGAGCCACCAACATCTTCATTCATTTGGAGTCTTTCAGTCATTTTTAGCCAGCTTTAGTTTATACTGAGAACATCTTTGTGTCTGTTTTGGCAGTTGGGAGTATCCCAAGTTATACAGGTTTGAGTGAGAGATGTTAGCACTCAGAGTCAAAAATAACTCTTTGCTCAGAAGTACAGGGTTCTTGGCAGAATTGTCAGTAAACGTACAACTCTCCGGCGTCAAGTGTGGATGTAGCTTGTCCCTGAAGAAAGAGCATAAATTCCTCTGTGCAGGTTGAAAGGCCTGTTTGGCTTGCATTGCCTGCCGCAGGCCTGTGTGTTTATAAAGCTCAGGTTTTCCCAGCTGCTGACGGTTTAAGATCTTACTAAACTTCCTGAAGTTGCACAGTTTGAAAGAAAATGACCCATAAATTAAAATCCCTTTGGCTACTGAGCTTCAAGTCAAAGATGCCCTTCTCTCCTGCCATGTAACTAATGGCTTTTGTGCTAGTTATCCCCCAGAGGTTAGGCCCAACAGCAGTGTGAGGACCTGGCAAGCGTCCGGGGCTGTCGCCCGCTGGTTTTTTTCATCCCGGCACGGCTTTGATAGCGCCTGGGCCACCGGGGCGAGCGGCCGGGGCGGGTGTTGCGCCGCGGACGGG